ACAGTGTGTCTACCTATACCTCCATCTTGGCCGGAAGTCCCCGTTAATTCTTAAGATAAAAAAGAAACCCTCTTTGAATTGAACAATGGCATAGACACCACAAGTGTGTATATACAAATTTACAGAGACACATTTCTTGGAACAGATGTATCTCAAGCCAATTCTTGTTTTTCCCTTAAGATCCTTTTTATCTTCTTAGTACTTGTTTTTGAACTTCTCTTGCTTTAAAATTCTCCTTTTTCTGTATGGAACAAGATATGTATAATACAAAGTGGTGTCCCAAATTTATAGTAACAATTTGCCAAAGGGAACAATTATTTTAGAGGAGAGAATGAATTGAGAGGAAAGAATTCCATGTATAAAAAATAAGGAGACTACAAAAAAGTGTGTCTGAGCTCAATACAAATTTAAATGTAACTTCTGCCCAGAGAACATTTCTATCATCAAGGTGACATTTCAGAACTATAAAAAGTTTGCAGGTTGAAAAAGTAGAACCAGGAAGATGAGGAGAAAACTGAAACATACCAATAGTTACAAAGTTTTCTGGATGGGAAAGATAAAAAAAAAAGTCAAGTTTCACTCAAATGTCTTAAGAACAAGGAATTCAAGTGGGAGAAGTAGAATTTGAGGGTTTTTGTTTGGTTTCCTTTTGTTCTTTGTGAGCGTGTATTTTATCATAAGCGAGTTCACCAATGCCATTACAACTTCAGGTCAGGCTGAGCAGTTTCACACCATTTGACCTAACACACAATTTTCAGCCAGTGTGCCACAGGAGGCACATTGGTGTGCCACACAAAATTTTGGCACATGTGATCCTTGACTATTTAGTCAGGAGCACTGACCTCTCTTCCCACCGACTGTCAATTTTTTTTAAAAAAAATGACAACAGCCAACACTATAGCTGTTCTGTGTGAACGAATCAAAATTATTACCTATTTTTGTCAGATTAGCAAAAAAGTGTATTTTTTGGTGTGCTGCAGAATTTTAGTAATTAGTTTATGAGTGCCATGAGTTGAAAAGGGGTGAACATCGCTAAGCTGCCAATTCAGAAACTTCTGGGTGACAGTGGCAATACACTGCCTCCTGGTATGGGTACTAATGTCTGTCACAACATGAAAGGTATTCATTTAACAGACACAACAGAACTAGAGAAACAAGCATGTGTATCTGGTGGATTGCAAGGGCTTGGGAGGGTGGTGTCCTCTCATTCAATTAAAGGTAAAAAAAAATATTTACACCGAATAAAATTGAAAACATGCTGTGAGTGTTTTCCTTTCATCCCCACAGTATGGAGTTTGGGAGAGGGTTTTTTCTTAATGGCCTTATTGAGATATAATTCACATAGTACACAATTCACTCACAGCATACAATGTATTGTTTTTAGTACCACCACAATCTAATTTTCGAACACTTTAATGTCCCCTAACACTAACATCATAGTTGTCATCTCCCACTCCCTGAATCCCCTGCTTTCAGTCCTGTTCATAGCCTGTCCCACTGAAATACTTCTTATTTTACTTGTTTACATGGTGATAAGAATAACAACAATAGAATAGAGATCAGAAACATAAATGGGTATCCAACATGCAGCAGGGTAACCCACAAAGATATTATTGGAGCCAATAGCATCTGATGGCTTAAAAAAATAATTGCCAAGCAGTGCAGCTGTGGGAATGATAGATTATGGGATCACTCAAGAGAGTCACATGCTAATAATTTTAAATATAAACTTGAAACAGGCTCTGGTTCTAGAAACTCATCTTGCTCATAAGAACAGCAATATTTTACATGCAGACATATTTGCAAATTCAGATTCTGCCTTCGCTGCTCACCAACTGTATGACTCTGGGCAGGTAACAGAAGATTTGTAAACTTCACTTTCCTCACCTACAAAATGAAAAAGACGATACCAACCTCATAAAGTTAGTGTGGAGGTTAGCATATGTGCAGTTTTAGAACCAACACTGGCACATAATAATTGCTTAATCAGCATTAGTTGTTGTTTCATTACTTTTGTTCATAAGAACTCAGTAATTCACATCAAATTCTAAAATGGAATTTTTAGGTATGTCAACTGGCTACTTGCCACATGAGGTTGCCATTTTTTAATTCTCTCCTCCGAAGAGTTTCCTGCCCTGAAAGCAGTGGCTGGGGATTTAAGATACTAGATACTGCCATGTAGAGGGAAAAAATATGACTTGATCAAGTATGATTAACAGAGCGGCAAACGGGTCTGCAGCTGCTTTAGAGCCACGCGCTCTATAAATAGTGCAGGTGCCAGTTTGTTTTTCTCACCTAATGCTGGTGTGACAGATTTTCCTCTTCTAAGTTAAAAGAAAAATTAACAGCAACAAAAGAGCTTATGTAGTGGTATTAAACACGTCTAATAAAAAATAGAGAATAGTGTTAGAGCATCATAAACCACATATAAACTCTTAGAGTTGACATGTTTAACTAAGACCCTAAGTGTGTGATGTTTAAATCCGTGAGTGTGAATGGCAGTCGTGCTCTGGTCTCGTGTCCATAAATGTAACCACCAACTAGTCATGGCCTTTTCCTTAAATCCAATACAAAATGGCTTTGGATTACAAGACTGTTAGACGGTTTTATGCTTTGAGGAATTACTATATATTTTCTGCTTGTTTACAAATGCGGTGTTAAATATTATGCCCCAATTAGATGACTCATGATACACAGCATTTTCATACTTGGGAAATGTCAACACATTAGTCTCTGCTTTGAGAAGATAAAAGTTCACCACAAGCAACACATTTTCACTTCCCTTTGACCCCGTGAAGCCGGTTTCAGTGCTGTGGTTACACGTGGCCCCGTTTCGTCTCTCGGAGGCCTCCACCTTGTCCACCTGTGTCCACATTTAACCCAGGCTTTACTCATCTTGGCGTTGTTTTGTACTGGCATGAGACTTTGTGATTTTTTTTTGCATGACAAGTCATCCGTAATGTTCAAGTTAAATGTCTAACATCTTGCAATGTCATGTGTCATTAATTCTCCCATGATTTTTTTCTTTTATTTTCAGTTACTGAAGTTTAAATATGCTTGAAATGTAAAAGTGGCATGAAACTGGAGTGATGCAAGAATATTTCATGTTCCTTTAAGAACTTACCATTTTTTTAATGGAGAAATTGGGGGGAGGGTGGTTCCCAGTCTTGCCTTTTCTCAATGACACCAATTCTCAATGACAAATTATGATAAAACTCTATTGAACATAAGTGCTGTCAGCAGAGTACTAAATTCTGAAGTGATACTTCTTTTCCCCTTGAGAATGTGTTTCTATCTAGTTCTTGACTATGTCTCTTAATTTAAAAAATTATTAAATATTTGATTTAATGCTTTTCTTAAAGCCTAGTGAATGAGACATAAAAGTCAGCTCCCCTGGCTTTGGTGAAAGTTTCTAGCGACTGAAAAAGTAAGGAATCAGTAAATGAGAGCACCAACACTTCAGTGCTGTGAAGTTTCCTCCATGAACACAGTGACCAACATTGGTGTTGATTTAGTAGTGCATGAATATGCAAAGAAAATAGGTTATTTACACCATTTTCTCAAACTTTCAATCCATAAGGGCCCATAACTGATTCAGATATATGGGCCCAAATACATACATACAAACAAGTGTTTTTCTTCCAAGTAGTTTCCTTGCTGGGTCTACTTAATTCTGCCCAGGTGCCATGGATAAAACCGTCTTAGAATACTCCAAGTGAAATTACCCTCAGAGTCTATTACATTCATTTCAGTACCAATGTGGTAACGTGTCTTGTTCCTGAGAGAGTAACCCTCAGAACCAAATCAGTTAAACAAGGATGGCAAATGAACTGGTGAAACATAATTTTGTAAATGATAAGCGAACTTGAGATTACTAAGACTTGCATGGTTTATCACTTATAAAAAGGCTGTGAACACATTTCCCAAAAAAGAACCTCAGAAAGCATTTGCATAACAGTGACAGTGGGAATAAATGAAAAATTTTAAGGAGTCTTCTAGGCAAGCATCTTATATTCACATGAATGAGTAGGTTCTAATATATGTATTATGGTATGGATATATGTATCACTTTAAATCTAGCCTCATTTAAGCGAATGATGTGGTTTACATTTTTAAGGATAATCCTTCTTCCATGATTTTTTATCAAATCAGAATATAGATTAAGTCACTGTTATATCTCCCTTTCTTTAGTGAATGTCAAGTTAATACCTCTTTAGCAACAATTTTCACAGATTTTGGTTGACTGTGTCACCAACTAGCTCTGTGATATTGTCAAGGGACTCAGCTGCTCTGTGCCTCTGGCCCCCTGTCTACCAGTGAAGGCTTTGGGGCTTAATTATCTTTAAAATCACTTATGAATGAAAATATTATACTATAATTATTTATTTGTGTGTGAAACAGCTATAATGATCATAGATCATAAATCTATACACTTTTGTGTGGTTTTAATTAGGTCTAGGTTGAAGTAACTCAAATTCAAGTTATTTAAAAAGACATCGAAACACTGATGTGTCTAGTGTCCTAGTAAAATCTTTTCTACCTGACAATATAATGATGATAAATATTTGTATAGCACTTAAATCCCTACTGCCTTATATGAGTCTCACAACGAAAGAGCCTCTATCATTATTCTTATCATGTAGATGAACATACCGAGGTTCAGTTACCTAAGGTGATAACTAGCAATTCATTGACTCTAGGTCAAGACTCAGGACAGAGACTCTGCGTCTTCTGCTTCCAATTCAACACTCTTTTTCTCTACCATCATTTATCTACAACCAGGTTTTTAATTAAGATACAATTATTCCAAGGTGTCATCGTTCAGAATTTACACTCTTTGAAATTAAATTCTGCCTCCCGGGACCCTCCGGCACCTCTCTAGACTATCCACTTGCGTCACTGCAGCTCTCTCTGCTTTTACAACTAGTTGTTTTGTCAGCATGAGTGTGACAACAATTAGACGTCCCCTGTTTTTGCCCCATGCCTTTTCTCCTTCACAGTCATTCAATGACAAGCGTAAAAAGAGCTTCATCTTTTCACGAAAATTCCCATTCTACAAGAACAAGGAGCAGAGTGAGCAGGAAACCAGTGATCCTGAACGTAAGTAGATTTTCAAAGAGAATGTCACATGCAACACAAGAGAAAAAAATCCTTCACTGCAACACGCATGATGTAGGCTCCCCCACGCCACACGCCTAGGCAAACAAACACGGCAGGCAGGCAGGTCAGGGCTTACTACTGTGACCAGTGTTTGGCTGCAGTCTGGATCCTTCCCTTGGTGGGGCTCTCCTATGCGGAATGCATTGGAGAGGGACTTGAGGAAGCTGGGACTTCGCTTCCAAAGAGCATTTATCTGTGACCAGGACTGGGTCTAGTTTGCCTTTTCTGTCTTGCAACTCTCTAGGGCTTGAGGCAAATTCTATTCCGGACAGAAATATTAGATTCCATTGCCACCTATACTTTTTGGAATGCTAGCTAATTGGAAGCGATTAAATTCCCTGTATAGACAACTAGCATTTTTTCACTCTTTCACATCCAACGAATATTAAACTGTTACTGAGCAGTGAGCTTGAGTTGGTGGAAACTAAATCTAAGAACTGAGCATGAAACTCAGAGTGGATCATTACTCTGAGTGCTGCATTTCTGTGGCAACGTGGACAGTGATCAAAAATGGCATCTGCTGGATCTTTTCTTTTTTATATCAATCTTCTGCTTAAACCTTTCAAGTTGCTTTACAGATTCTTGAGTCTCGGCCCAGGGAGTTTGGGGCAAAAGTTGTTTCAAAATAAGAGAGATTGGGATCCAGATTGCTTAGGCAACCCGGTCTGTCATGGTAGTATTCATTTCAACTCCACTGACTTCTTCCTTCCTCTTCCGCGGCTGTTCTTCCTCTCTCATTGCTCTCTCTGGGGACTTCCATGCAGGACATCCCCGGATTAGGTGACGACGGTTATGGAACAAAGACTCTGAGTAAGTTCCCAGGAATGGTCACTGTAACTTTTCTTTTCTTTTTCCTTCCTTTTGAGTTTGGCTTTTGTTCCTTTTCTTGAGGGCCTTCCACTCCTAGCATGCACAAGATACGAGTTTTATTTGTTACCTAGCTGTGAATGCTCCTACAAAGTAACTTTCAGCCGTTTTGTTCTGCATGTCAGCATTTAAACGCCAAGTGTGTCAGGCACTGTAACTTCTGTTGCAATTCACACCTTCCCTCTCTAACCGTGTGATATGGCGAACATGGTCCTGATGCCAACTATTGGCATCACTTGCTCTGCAGTCTAACACCTCCCAGAGAGCAAGGAGCCATGTTGAATGAAAGGGCAAAGCTGAATGTTCTAGAACTGGGGAGCAGAAATGTACTATATGTCCTTTCTCATGCCCTTTTCACCCAGACTTTGCCAAATTTCATAATTGGGTTGTACTTTGCTGTTAGTAAAGGAGCTATTTTATAGACAAAAGGAACATGCATTCTCAAAATGTAAATATTAAGCTATTTGATCATCTATGATTAATCCTTTGTTATTAACTTTGATTTTTCTTCCCTGACTTGCAGTGGTCCTGCTTGAAACGTTTGTATGATAAAGTTTTAGATATATGTTAACATGTTGTTCTGTTAGTGATGTATTAGCTGCATTACATAATCAGGTCTTCATTTTATAGTGGGAAATGAAACATATTAAACTTTAAGTCTTCTAGTTATTAATGCCTTTGGTCTGTGTCTCATTGCACTGAGCAATAAAAAATAATCTTGTGTATTAATATACTACGCTATGATTTTTCTTTCTTTAATACTAATTTCATTGTGTAGGCACCAGTAAAATAAGAAGAGAGTTTTGTGTCTTTTGAAACTGTATCACACGTTCAATTTTTGTTTGTTTGGTTTTAATTTAACAGCTATGGGAAATGTTTTTAGAAGCTATTCATTTCATTTGGATAAAACAAAATAGCATTGAGCTGAACTTTGTTTTCAAGAGCTGTTTATATGACCCTGCAAAATGATACCCTTCATCCTTCAAATTGTTACTTTGCGCTTTTTTTTTTAGCTGCGTGTATATAGAAAACAAAATCCGATCAAGAGTAATTGCTGATCTCCTTAAAGATGAACACTTTATCTTTGAGTCTCTATATGGAACAGGTCATGAAATTTTTCTTGAATTAGTGGCTCAAGTTCATATACTGATTTTAATGTTATCTGGATACCATCAAGTACCACCAGAGTTTCTACATTTTCAGTTGAGGGGGAGAGGGACGCATTTTAATGTATCGCTAATAAATGAACATCACTAAAAAGTAGTTACTGTCACAGTGTCAAAAATATGAGTGATGCCCGTTTAAATCTAAAATATGCAAGTGTTTTCTTACTCTTTAAAAAATTGAATAGATTTCATGAGGTAACATCATTTGCCAATTAGTACTGTTGTTGGCCATGATTTGGATGTTAGCTGAAACACATTTTTAATTTCTTCTTACCTACAAAAATTCTCTTATACAATACCTGGATGGTAAGATTGTTTGTTAAATAAAATGCTGCATGGTCTTAAATTCCTCCACAGATAGTGTAGCTTCATTCTAAATTATCTTAGAAGTAAAAATGAAAAACCAGCAAACAAGAAACCCTGGTATTCCCAATTCAAAGCACTTAAAATAATCATGTGCCTTAAGATGAACCATTGGTGGGTGTATGCCTTGACTTTTTTTTTTTTTTCAGTAACAAAAAACGAATTTGCCCTGATTCGTCCATACTTCTTTCCCTAGTGCCCTTCTGCATTTGTCAAATGTGTGCCTGCATTAGCAGTGCAGTTCTGGTCACACACCGGGACAAAGAGAAATGGTCTGTGTAACTTTGACCCAGGTTTTGGTTTTCATCAGTGTCATGACCAAACTAATTTACCCGGATGTGTAAAATAACTCAACTATAGGAATCCTTTCACGATGTTTATACATTTATCAAGTCATCACTTTTTACACTCTAAAGGTATTACAATTTTGTCAGTTATACCTCAGTAAAGCTTAAATAAAAGAAAACTAATCCATTCATTTGGCAAGAATCTATAACATCAAATACATTTTAATGCACATTTTAGATTCCCTTTTTCTTAAAATGTGCAATAGTGAAAGTTATTGCTAATAAGCTTCAGAAATCAAATAGTCACATATTCTTCATGTAATTAACCTGATATACAAAGAAGTCAATAAGTCAATGAATTTATCTTCTATAATTTAATACATAGTGCCGATGAAAGTGTATGATTTTAGAAATAAAAGCTCTAATTCTGGCATATACATCATCCCTGTTGCGTGAGCTAAATTTGATTTTAGTTATAAAAATATGAAATATCACTGTATAAGCAAGCCATTTAACATGACTTAAAAATACACTTCATGCCAGGACCAGTTTGGTTTCAGATCACTTACTTCCTGCCTGTTTTATTCTCCCAGATCCTAATAACTATCCAAAGAATCTTAAAATGAAAATAAGGAAATACCACACTAAATCCTAAAACATTTTTCAGTGACTCATTTCTTCCTCCAAAATTTTCTGGTCACTCACTGAAGCAGGGAAGATCTCCAGCAATCCCCTTTCATCCTGAGAATTAGCCGAGGAAGTATTTAGATAGAAATAAAATTCAAGGGATTCCAGGGATCAACTGGCGATTTGAAATGCAATATTCCTATAAAATTCTTAAAGGCTAAAAGAGAGAAACAAAAAGCCTGGAAGAAAACCACCAAAATAGAAGCCCCTGAATTTACAGTCAAGAAACACCTAGCTGAGGCACAGGTTCACCCCAGTCACACAAACTGGGAATTAGACCTGCAAGAACAGGTCCAAGTATTTATAAAAAGAAAAGTTCATGAACTGACATCATACATTTTTTTGTAATTAAAGATACTTTTCTAAAAAGGACATATGGCAATCAAGTAGTAGTTTCCTGTAAAATGGAGATAAAGTTTTCATCTTTTTTATCTTAACTGCGTTTTCTTAATGCCGTCTCCTCTGCAGCCTTTTACTTGCCTTTCCGCTCCCATTTCTAGTGGCCTTGCATGAATGTATTCCTTTGAGTTCTGGCTGCTCGCCAATGCTTGATGTCTCTTTAATTTGCTGTGCTGTTCTTGCAGAACATGTTTCTTCTAATGCCAGCGATAGCGAAAGTAGCTACCGTAAGTTATTGCTTTGGTTTGTGGTCCTTTTGTTTGCAATCGCCCCATTGCCTGTGGTGGTCATTTCAGATCTTTGCTGCTGCTGTTTTTCAATTGCCGCCCTTCATCCTCTTCATCCAAAGCAAATGGCTTGAAATGAAATGATCATTTGATGTGGAAAGACACAGAAGACACTAGGGCCGGTGGAGTGATGGTTTATACAAGCAGTTCCGACCTCAGTTGACTGGCCTACGGGGCAGTTCTCTGGAGAGGGTGGGGTGGGGGTGGGGCAGGGTTCAACCTGGTGGGTTTTGACATTCTGCTCCCCGCCAAGAAAAATAACTTAAATTCCCTGTAGGAGGGTTGAAAGGCTTCCTTTTCAACCCTCGTGATTTTATTTTCCTTCTAATTTTGCCTTTTCTGTTCCTGGCTCCCCTTTACAAGAGAAATCTTTATGAATTATGGCATTCCTTTTAAATCAAGCATGAAATTTTTATATCTCTTCTCTCCTTGATTAATATTTTAAGGTAGACACTATGACATAGCTGACTTTATATTGGTGATGGTTGGGAAGTGATGAAAAAGTTTCATCCTTTAATGTTGAAGGAACTCACATTTTTTTTTTAAGTGAACAAATCTTGGATCAAAAAGCTTAACTGAAAAGGTAGGTAATTACATAGATAAAAATTACTTCTGGTCTTTGTTTGGTCACCTCAAGCCATTTGTTTGGTGTATAGAAATATTCACCAAGCGCATCCTTTTGGTCTGTTCTTGTGGTTTCTTACCACCTACACAGTGGCTTTTCATGACTCACGTAGGTGCGTATTATTATCTGGGATATTTACAATATCTATAATATTTATTTGTACTCCCTACTGAAATGGGTTTCTCAAAAAGCAGTTGCTGAGGGTATTAGAAAGCTGCATATAATCCAATACATATGGCCCAGAGCTACCAAGACAGAAGTTGATTGGGCTTATTTCCCTTGTTAGTTTCATATTATATTAACTGAAAACTAGAATAGTTTGTGTTTGGTTGGTCCTATTTTTCTCACTACAGCATGGTACTTCACAAAACCATGTCTTTTTTGAGGCGGAGTGCCACTTAGAATATGACAAATTTAATTGGATTTTGAGAAAGGCTTTGGAGAATCAGACTGGCGGCAAGTAGAAAAAAAGCACAAAAGAGGAAAAGGCGGCAGAAGGAGGTCGGGGCCAGGGGAGGAAGGAGAAACAGACCACAGAATAAAGTAAAAGATACTGTGAGGAGATACCCTTGGTTCATCAAATTTTAGAACACCTAATTTTCTTCCTCAACCGAATGAAAAGTCTTATGAATGAAGGAATCAAAGAGTTCTTGTCCTTAATTTGGTCCTTACCATTTTTAGATTCTTCCAGTTATCCAAACTAGGGGAAACATTTGCACCCCCTTCTTGTTTAATTTTAAAACAAAGAATCCAGGCCAAGAAGAAGTGACCTAAAATTTCCTTCCTGACACCTGAGGCCCCTCAATTTAGAATAAGGCAATATATTACTTGTTTGTCAAGGTTTTGTGGCCCTACTTTTTAAATTTTACTTCTTTATTTTATTATTTAATCTTTATTGTGATTTTTTCATTACCACTTAGTCTCCTTATACCACCCTCCCTCCACAATCTCCACACTGTTGTCCACATCCCTGAGTCCTTTTTCGTTTTTGCTCAGTCCTTCCACCTCTCCACCTCCCCTGCCCACTAGCCGTCATCCTGCTCTCCATTTATGGGTCTGTCCCCATTCTCCCTGTTAGTTTCATTTGTTCATTAGATTCCACTATGAGTGAGAGCATATGGTATTTGTCTTTCTCTGACTGGCTTATTTCACTTAGCATAATGTTCTCCAGATCCATCCCTGCTGTCACAAAGGGTAAAATTTTTTTCTTTTTTATAGGGCCCTACTTTTTTTTTTTTGATGTTGAGTTTTTAATTTTTAAGTGTTGTGCTTCCATCCTGTAGGCACAAAGGAGAAGCATCAGGCCTTGTTTTTTCAATCCTTTTCATGGAAAATATGTACAAGAACTGCCTTTTTCTCTGGAAATCTTGTTAAAGAATTTTTTTAGAGGCCCCTCTTTTCTCTTTCAGAGTTGGAAATGTTCTTTCTAGAATTCTTAAGTTATAAAAATCAGACCAAGGCTTTCAGCTGCTTGAGAAGTTTTGGTAGCCATGCTCCAAGATGCCATCAAATAATTCTTTTCATTCTCAAATAGTAGGTGCACATAAATAATTGAGTGAATAAAGAAAACACTTGGAAGCAGCTTGAAGTACCCATGAGAAGAGAGAAGAGTTGGAACTGGACTTTAGGATATTGTTATAGCAAATGCGGAGTCTAATAATCTATATTGGTTTGGGTATCATCTGAGGCTACAGAATGACAGCCTCTCAGATTGCATTCTTTACAAATGATCGAAAGTAAGAAGAGCCTTTGTCATAGCTTCGAGGAATAAAGACTTCTTTCTCTAGGGTGGAAACAGGAGGAACTCCAGAGGCATATTCACTTATTTACTGAGCATCTACTACATGTCATACTCTCTTTATATGCACCATGAGGCCCAATGTGAATCTCAACCAACCCTGGAACTCAGCACACGTACAGTGGGAGAGAAAGAGAAATGAATAAAAAATGCACAAAGTTGTTTCAGTTTCCAGGGTAAAAGTCTAGCCCAAGAAGAGTTGGGACTTCAGAGGTTGTTTCAAAGAGGAAGTGGCCTTTGAGCGAGTTTTGGAAAGTCGAGGTGCTTACCAGCTAGATAAGTTGAGAACAAAACCTTCCAGGCAGGGCAGCGGCATGACAAAAGGCACGCAGGCTTGGGACAGACCTGGTTTCCAAAAAGTGCCATTTTGAAATCAAAACAGATTGCATTTTCTATTGAATTCCTGGCTCTTGCCATAATTATGACTACTTTATGTTTTGTAAATACTAGAGTCAACAAATATTAAAAAGACCCTCTTTCACTGATGTCCAGCTATTATTTTTACCTTTAGAATCATACCATGTCCACTCTGGTGACAAAATGGCTTTCAAAAATGGCCAGTGGTTAGAAACAAAGACCCAGGTGACTGTGTTTCACAATTGCAGGGGGCACGTCCATACTGCATCCTGGTGTTTCATGTTGTGACAACCTTAATTGAAAGCCTCATATACTTCGTGAGGTACACACACACGCACACACACACACACACTTAAACCTCAAATTCTAATAAACAGCTCAGAGACTTGCCACACCATTTCAGTCATTATAGAATAATTATTTTTTCAAAATCCAACTATACTGAGCACTGTCCAAAATGCACTTAATTACAGTGCACATTGTCTAATTATGCAAAATGCCACCTCAAAACTATCTTAATTATGTGCTAATTTCAGATTTCTCTCAACAGAGTAGTTCAGTGCTGCCTTGTGTTTGTGGTCATTTTATAGCTGAGCTTTCAATTGCCCTTGAACTGGGATGCAATAAAGACCATATAGGTATAACAAAGACTTTGCAAATCTCTGTACCTGAAGACCTGCCTTCCTCAAAGCTCTTTATGTCATTGTGGATATGAGGGAGCTGATTATCCTTCTAACCCATTAGTGTTCATCAGCTAAGCAGGATTTTCAAAACTAGAATCTGGTAAAATAATCTGAGTGAAACTGAGGGGCCACTGAGGAGACCCAAGACTTTTCCACTGGAATCAGTCAAAATGATTCCCATATTCTTCCCCTTTTCTTCTCCTCTAGTTCTTTAGCCTTCATAAAGCAATTTTCCTCACATCTGTTTTCCCATTTGATTTCTGCAACAAAACTGTGAGATACACCTTATAGTAATACTTCATTGTACAGATGAGGAAGGTGAATCTCCAAGAAGTGACATACCTCACTGATAAGGCGGTGCTGCAGGTCCAACCAAGACATTTTTAATTCTGAATCTCATACATTTCCACTCTTCCCTGGAGTTTATAATCCCGGCCTCTTCACATTTTACCTAATACATGTCAAACACCCCACCCTGCTATCAAATTAATACAGCAACATTTACATAACATTAACCATGTTCTAAGCCTGATGTTAAGGTCCTATATATATTAACTGATTTAATCTTCTGAACATTCCGTGAAGATTCACTGTGATCTCGGAATCACTCAATATCTTTGAACCTCTGTCCTCTCCTATGTAAAATGAGTTGTTTGGGTTAGAACAGAGATGGCAAGCCGATTTTAATCAAAATTCCAATTCTGGCCAACTAGTAGTATCTGCCTGAAGAGTTGTACTGAAAGTATTTTATTGGTGCCAAATTAAGGCTTAGCAGTAATGCAGGCAATGACCTGTCAAAGACATGGGGTAGGCAGTGGCATCGTGTGCTACACACTCGCTGACTATGAACCACATAAACTTGAAAGCCTTCTTAAGAATAACTTTGTGTGGCTCTAAGATCCTAATTTATTCTTAACAATCATCAAATGCAGCCACTAAACAAACACTAAATTTAGAACATTAAATCTACTGGGTCTTCACTTCCCTCCTCTCTCTTTTCTAGTTTCCAAAAATTCTGAAAGAACATCAACTTGCTTTTCTCTAGCATATCATACTTGCTTTTTCATCTCTAGCGTAGCAACTTGCTTTTTCTCTAGGGCATATCAAGGTCTTACTCTGAATCCCATTTATTGTGACCGTCTTCCAGCTCAGACACCAGGTGTCTTGCGGAGATGGTTGCAAAGGCCTCTGTTAAGCTCCTACAGCTACAGGCGCCCCACACGGCCTGCTGCTCTCCCACTCTAAGCCATGCAGCTGCAAAAACAAGACCGAGTAATAGTTGGTACCTTTTTGTCAGCTGTTATTTACAAGAGCCAACCGCCCTCCCAAACAAAAAGTAGGAAACCTACTAAGAATGGCTATTTTATGGAGATAACAGCAGCATTTTTTTAAGAGTTGATGTTTACAGGTGGCCTCTCTTGGACTCTGACCCAGTTCAGTGGCTCTCTGGCAGCCACCTTTTGCCATTTGTGAGGTCTGTCCCTGGATCACGGCCCCACAGAGAAGTCTGCCTCTCTTGTCTGCTTCAGACAGTGTTATACACTCAACGAGGAGTCAAGAAATACATGGTTTTAAATCTTGACTCCACTACTTATTACCTGAGAAAACAGGCCCTGTTATGATCTCTGAGCCTCAGCTTCTCCATCTGTAAAATGGGTTATCATCAGAGCACATACCTCAAAAGAAATGGCTGTGAAAAATAGAAGCCAATGCATGTGAAAGCTCTTTATGGCCTGGAAAGTGCCATACACCCATGCATTATGTTTCTTTCGTTGCTGTGACTTTTGCACCTCCTCCTCTTAGTCTGCTTTCCATTATCCATAGGGCTTTTCATTCTCAAACATGAAAGTGAAAATTGGTTTAAGGCGCTGAATTCACAGCTATTTGGTGAGACCAGCTGCCATAGCTTCCCTGCAGACTTCTTTACATAGGACCTGATTGTCACAGGGTCATTAGAATCCAAATGGGCTTTGACATAGGGATGTTGTCACGGCAGTCTGCCAGGATCACTGCTCTGGATGAGAAGCACTGCCTTGTACAAGTTAGAAAATAAACCAAAAAGCAATGGATAAACAGAGAACTGCAGGATTGCCTAGCAAAGTTGATCAAAGCTCTGTTGCTTTGGCCTAGTTTTCTGAATCAGAAATTATGCATTCTGACACCAAATACCTTATTTAAGGTTTGCCTTTAGAGCATTCCATCAGAATGATTTGCAAGACCACTGGAAAGAGATTCCTGTGGGAACATACATGAAAAGAAAACTCTACTTCCCAAAACGAAAGCCCATAAACAGAAACACAACGTAGAGCCTGCCTTTGGCCTCACTGCTCATCTTGTTTTCTACCACTAAAATCAGAATGCAAATTCACTGACATGTTTCTGTATGTTAAGCACTAGAGACACAGTAATCAATGAAACCCAGTCCTTGTGTTTATGGAGTTCCCAGTCTGGTGGAGAAGCATAAGGAACACCTGATGTTTAAAACATTTGTTATCCCGGGGGGTTAGTACTCTCCACTCACGTATTAATCATTCCACCTAGATCACCTGTAAAACTAAAGTCTAACATGGGCACTAAGAATGCCCGGCTTCTATTTCTAAAGGCATACATTTCCCCAGTCATTTTATACCTATCATTTCAATTTTTACAGCCTCTGCATCTCAGGCTTTAGATAAGTGGGGCTTAGCTGTCAATCACTTTTTTTTTTACCTAGCCTAAATGTCAGTAGTTTTATTAAAATGAATCATTTTTCCTACATAAAAAAAAATGTGAACCTGGCTCTTCACGTACCAAACCCCTGCCCAGATGTGGATGTGTCCCCTGAAGACTTCTGGGGACGCCCTGAGCAGACACAACTCAGATGGAAGCCCTGAGCAGACACAACTCAGATGGAAGTGCAGGCCCACTCTCCCCGCCTTAGGAGGTAGTTCGGCCTAGTGGTGCCATTCTGAGAGTGGGCCCTGCTTGAGGGTGAGGTAAAGGACAACTTAGGCCAGGGGCCGTTTCTCACACTTGTAAATGTAACACACCAGGACCCAACCCCAGCTACCCAGTCTCCAGGGAAGACATCTGTGCATCACAGCTTTATCCACATACTGCTTACCTACTGTCCCAGATCAGTTGTTAGTAGCAAACTGTGATATTAACTCCTTTGACAGAATGAACACACCTGTTCTGATGCTGTGGCTCTTGATGGGGAAGCACGTGGCACTGACACACTGACGGCGATGGGGAGATAAAGCAAGCAGATGCCTTGCCCTTTGGTTTCAGGAAACACTACCTTGTATCACACACCTCCTTTATAACACAACAGACAGCAAGTTCTTTTCAACAGTCCTAAACTATTTCCCACCAAAGGATAGTCACTCCTAGGCCTAAAGCAACCAAAAGAGCAAACCCTTCTGGGTTTGTGACTGAGTCATCCTAATCTCATGCCCAGGTCATTAACTGGGTGAAACATGATTGAAAAAAAAATAATCGCCTAAAACCAATTTACTTTCCATGGTTCTGTGTTGACTTGAGGCCCACAATGAATCAGAAAGCTTAGCAAATGACATTGGAAGGGCTGACACTTTCACCACATTGTCCTTCTTGGTTCCTTCCCCAAAGTTTCAAGGCTAGAGTTAATGGTAATTATCACCAGTGACTTAGGGGACTCCTTGATTTTTTATCTTCTTGAATTGACCAAGCATTTTCCAGACGAATTAACATTGGACTAAATCCTCAGTGTCCTGTAATATATACTGATGAAGTTTTTGTATCATAAATGAAACAAGCAGATACTTGCTTTTGAATAATGTGCTTTGGAAAGTAAAATAGAAGATGAAATAAAAGGTCCAGAAATCCTGATAATGTAGCAGCAAACTATTGGATGGACCCTGTCCTTGAACTAGATGGTTGTGTTTTAAGAAGTAACATGGGGTGAAGAGGCCAAGATACCCCATTTCTCAGTGTCAGACAGAAGACAGTCTCATAGGTCATTGCCCTGATGAACTTCAGACAACTGCCTCTATTCCTTTCCTAGTGGTATGACCGCTGATAGATAATCTGATACTGTAATAGAGCTAAACAGTTTTTGAAGGTAAAGGGATTTTTGGAATGGTTCAAGAAGAGAGTAAGGAAAATTAACCCTGAACTGTGTCTTTTAACTGCATTTCAGAGCAGGGCTTGTAGCTACAGTGTATGACTGGTTGTTAGTTCACTGTCATTTTTCTTCTCTTCTCTTCTCAGGAGGGCAAGAAGACTTCATTCTTTCTTATGAGCCTGTCTTAAGGCAGGAAAGTAAGTTCCCCAACATGCTCTCGTTCCTGATTTCCAGGCCACAACAGGTGACACCATTATAGGAGGGAAAGAGTGAAGGAATGAGGAAAATGAACTCTGCTCAATACTCAGCTGTCCTCTGACCATGTGCTGTCTCCTTTGCCCTATCGCCAGCAAACACTGCTGGGATGAGTGGTCCCAGCCAGGAGGGAACCATATCTGAGTCAATCAGGAGCCCCAACTGTAGATAAAATCTCCCAGGAGACTGAAGACCACTCAGTATTGAGAGGGGCTTTCTCTCAGACCTGTCCTAAGATCCAGGTCATCTGTGGGCTGCTCCAGGAGCCTGCATTTCCTTTTCCTGAAGGCATTTACACAGAAGCTAATGGCTGTTATACTGCAGAGAAAATGCAAGCATCAAATGCGGAGTTGGACCAAATGAACTTGGGAGCTCCTTCTAACCGCACAGTGCAAAGGAACTGAGAAAACCCCATAGCGTATAACAAGTGTTGTGAGCTGAGAAAGAGAAATTATAAAAACATAAGTTGCTATTACTACTAACAATTACCTTTTAAAGTCATTATCTAAACAATGGCCAAACAGCTGCTTTAGAATCTTTTTTCTCCCACTGAATTGACTACATTCAGTAGTTGTTTTGACATTGTGTAGGCAGAACCTACGAATAAGCAAAACCCCTCCAAATGCTTCTTTTCATTCACAGACTCTGCTATTGCATTTTCCTTTTAATAAATTCCAGAGAGTAGCCACCGCCAACAAACACACTGAATGTTAAATACCAATTTCCCCATGCCGGGCTGGTGGGCAATTTATCCAGTGAAGTAATGCCCCCAGCAATTTTCACTGTTTAGCAATTTGGCTTTAAGAACCACCCTGAAAAGGCAGTTTTGCAACTGTTTCCTTGTCTTTCTCCTCATCTGCACCTTCCTTTCCCCTCTACAGTAAACTACACTCGGCCAGTGATCATCCTGGGCCCCATGAAGGATCGGATCAATGACGACTTGATATCTGAATTCCCTGACAAGTTTGGCTCCTGTGTGCCTCGTAAGTAACTCTTCTCTTTTTTCCAAGAAAAAAAAAAGCCTGGCTCCTTTTTTTTTTTTTTTTTTTTTTTTGATAAAACATAAGTCTGTTCCTCCATAGTCTCTACACTGATTCAAATACTATCAGTTACCTTTTATCCCAGCATCTTATTTAATTTTCTCTGCCCGACAGTTTTTCATCTATTCTGCTTATATATTGTTCTCTATTTAGTGAGTACAATATGTTCTCGAAACTGATGGTGCTCCCCAAGAAGGCAGAATGAATCCTTTCTTTGTACCTGCAATAGCATTTAAAATTGCATAGGATTATTGATTGGTATCACCATGTTCTCATATATTGATTGAAATGCCACTGAAGCATCTTTTCTCATTGAATAAGAGAGATCAGAAACAAAGCCATAAGTTAAAAACATCGCAAGATGACTTAAGGGCCATGTGTCAATCCAAAAATAAGATGGCTTTTCCCCTGTGTTTTAAGAGTCCCAAGTGTTGGGAGGATAAAGACAGATGTATACAACTTTAATTTGCCTACCCTCTAGACCATTATTGACTTGTAATCTTTCTTGTCGTTATAGACAACTGTCAGGCCTCCTAGTCTCTGAATAGAGCCCTGTGAGGTCCTATGTGCTCTCCCTGCTTCGACCCCACCAGACTTCCCCACTCACCCACTTCCATCTCAACTCCCACTGTCACACTGCAATGCACAGACGCCTTCTGTGTATGTAGGCAGACCCACCAGAAAATTTTAATGTATTAGATAATTGAGCTCTTAAATCTGACCTCAACAAATATTTCTTTCTCACTCTACATTTTTTAAGTACTCTGTTTTGAAGTGTCCCTTCCATTTCAGTACTGCACATGTCACCTGGAATGCACAGAAGTGGCAGGAATGGCATGTGTGCAGTAGGTGGGCAGAGGAAACTGGGATGACTGCTGTCTCTCAGGAAACGTTCCCCGTGAGGGCTCCGAGAGGAGATCCTGCAGGGAGCCAGTCCCAAGGGAGACTCTAGATCGAGATGGGCATGTCAGATTCTAGTCGGGCAGAGCAACTTCCGCTTTGTTCCTCCTTTGTGAAAGGAAAGAAAAAACAGTCCTTAAGCAGGATTTCTATTTTCTCCCTAACCTTGCACACCCTTCTGTTACTCTTTTTTTAATTAATAGCACTATATTATGATAATAAACACATGATCATTGTACAAAACTTGGGAAATGCTCAAAATAAAGTTAAGCAAGAAAGTAAAAAGCACAGAATCCCACACAGCACCCAGAGATAACATCATTGTTAATATTTTCTTAGATTTCCATCTATTCATTCTTTCTTATATGTGCATTTTCTTCTGTGGTTGGGTACATGTTAGATATACACAGTATTTTGTTGCTTAATATTCAGTTTTTATATAACTATTTTAAATGATTATTATGTCATCATTAAGCATTCCTTTCTTTATGCATATGTTGCTTTTTCTCTACTTTTCACTCTTATGAATTATAATTAAATGTTATACTCACTTATAATTTATACACTAATATAAATTAACATTTTTAAGGATAAAATTGTATATGTTTTGAAAATTTTTAAAATAGATGTCTAGAAATAGCATAGCTAAGTCAAAGATTGGAAATATACTAACATTTTTTATTTGTATTAAGAGATTGTGCCCTGGCTGGTATGGCTCAGTGGATTGAGCATGGGCTGCGAACCAAAGGGTCACCAGTTCGATTCCCAATCAGGGCACATGCCTGGGTTGCGGGCCAGATCCCCACTACGGGGTACGAGAGGCAACCACACATTGATATTTCTCTCCCTCTCTTTTTCCTTCTCTATTCCTCTCTCTAAAAATGAATAAATAAAATCTTTTTAAAAAAGAATATTTATATTAAGAGATTGTTTGCCCTTCTCTTCTTACAAAGAAGTCTAGCCACCTCTCACCATAATTAGAGTTGATGGCTTTCAGTCCCACCTTAACTGTGATGATCTAATTTTACATCTTTTAAAATTCCTGAATATGTTTACACTATGTCCTTTTTTTCTGTTCCTGGTTACATGACACACTTTTTGGCTTCATCGCTTGTCCCATAATTTTTTATCATGTTCTGGACATTGTAATGCTACATTACTGAGAGTCTGCATTTTGTTGTTTTACTTTATAAAATACTAAATTTTTGTTCTAGCAGGTGATAATTTACTACAGATCAGCTTCTTCCAGTGATGACTTGGTGATGATGGCTCTAGAGTAGCCTTCCAAACTGTGGCCTTTCTGGGGCCACTCTGTGACCTCTAGACTCTCCATTTAGAAATGAAAGCGTATGAGTATATTTCCCTTTATGTGTTTCTCTTACAAGAATCACAGCCCTGCCTATTGTCTGACTCCTGAAAATAGCTTTCCGCTTATTTTGTCTAGCTTTATAGTTATTTCTAGTAGGAGGCTACAACTGGTACCTATTACTATGGGCTTTATAGTACATATTTTTATATACCTGTGTTGGAGATGTGGGGAAGAAAGTAAGTATAGAAGAAGTTTATGAGTATACCTATATGACCTTAATTTTATTGTTTCTTGTTTTATAAAGATACTACAAGGCCAAAGCGAGACTATGAGGTGGATGGCAGAGACTACCACTTTGTCATTTCCAGAGAGCAAATGGAGAAAGACATCCAAGAGCACAAGTTTATAGAAGCTGGCCAGTACAACGACAACTTATATGGAACCAGTGTGCAGTCTGTGAGATTTGTAGCAGAACGGGTACGTCCACCAATCTCCTCACACCTCCCCTGAAGAAGGGTCACAGGTGGCAAACTGTATAGTTTGGTCATTACTCTTTCCTGGTTACAGTGGAAAATTTTGATTAAATATTCCTTGTAAGACCTGAGCATGGTCATTAGTCTTTATTCTAATCTCAGTAAAATAAGCTGAGTGACTTGAGGGGGGATGGGTGGAGTAGAAACCTAAAGGCATCTAACAGCTTGAAGTTTGTGATGATTCACCTTGTCCTTGACTTTGGTCCCAGTAAACAACATTGACTTTATTAAGGAACCTTCACTACTCTTGGTTGTTTAGACCAACATTCTCAATTCCTTTTATTAGCAGGAGTTAACATCTTATCTCTCTGAAAACTTAAGATCCTCAGGATGGAAGAAGGGTAGACAGGTAGGAGGACTTCCTAGTCTGCTGCTGACAAAATTGCAGCTTAAAGGAGGTATAGATGCTGCATTGCCTTCCTGCTGATAATTGTAAGGAACTGGAAAAGGCAAGAACATTCAAAACAGAACAGGGTAGGAAGGCACCTGAGTGTGACTTTAAGATCTCTGCCTATAGAGAGATCCTGATCTGGCAACAGAGGATTAATTTCACAGGAGGAAAAAAGAAGAGTTCAGAGCCAGTTATATTTGTGATATGGTTGATATTTGTTGGGTCAAATTCATTTAATACATCCTCGTCTTATCCTTGCTCATGTATGGGTACAAAAATTAAATAAGAAATTTTAATGTCCATGTAAGAATACACTAAGAAGTTGCATCTACTTCCCTCTATATCACACTGTTTGTAATCAGTTTCCTGGGTAACTGTGTCTATTTTCCTCTTCGAACTTATAGATACAACCTTTGTTAACTTGAAATGTTCTGGTTGGTGAATAATCAAATAGCACTTAGAAATTCATGTAGCTGCTGCACTTCACAGAGAGCAAACTTGGAATTTATTGCTTAAGTGACAAAGGCTTGAACCATCTCAGTGTGCTTCTCCTATTATATACCTGTTTCTCGAGTATTCGTGGACTCTGTTCATTTTCACTTAAGTATTGTAGATGAGTTTTTATTCCCTATTGTTGATTTAGGACTGTTTCTATCTGCATGCTGAGCTTTTTATCTTCTTGTGTAAAGTTTTGGTAGCATCAGGGTAATGAGGCCATTTCTCTCCAGGAGGTAGAATATGATGTGTGGTAAATATATCTACTTTGCCAGAAATACTCTGTAAAGCAACTTCTTGCTCTGAGCACTCATCGCAGTGGAAGCCAAGTTAAATGAGGTGTGCTGTAATGTAACAGGGTTTGTATTCGTGAACAAACAAGAAATTTACATAACCCGTGCAAGCTTCTCTCTCTCTCAGCATTCAAGATATAATATTTAAGGTGACTTTTCTTGTGACTGTCCTCTGCTAGACTGAGCATTTCAAGGTCAGGATACATATGAGCACTCAGCAAATGTTTATGGAACTGTTCTAAATTCACATGATTACCATGTCTCTAAAGTTAACATGAGGCAGGGGGAGACAACACGGTGCCTGTTTATTCCAACCAACAATTCTGTGAGTGCCCAAGACTTGTGTCTCAGTCCTCCTAACACTGAGACTTCAGGCAAGTTAGTTAATATTTCTAAGCCTTAGTTTTCTCTTCTGTAAAATGTGGTTGGTAATACCTACCTCGTAGCTTTGAGAATTTCTTCTTGACCATTGTCTTCAGAGATGGTTTACAAGCTTTATGAGAATAGACACAGTCACATTCCACATGGCTACATGTCTTCTTTGCTCAAAGCACTGGGTCTTTATTTAAGAAAACCGAGTTAACTGAGATGACACACGCAGACTGTCCCAGTGGCAGACACTTAACCAAGGGGGTAATAGGTATGTCATGGCAAGTTTTCGGTGACCTGTGTATGCAGTGATCCTTTCAACCCTCAGAAATCCATCATCCTTTATCTTCCCTTAAAACACGCTTACATTATTTTTAGTGGGTGTTGCATTATGATCACTTTTTCTGGATTAACTCCATATTTTTCTTCTCTTTCTACCAGGGCAAACACTGTATACTAGACGTATCAGGAAATGCTATCAAGCGGTTACAAGTTGCCCAGCTCTATCCCATTGCCATCTTCATTAAGCCCAAGTCTCTGGAACCTCTCATGTAAGTGGAGGCCACTGGAGATCTTCATCCGGCCCCTGTTCCATACGGCACAGCACATTGTTAACAGCTCCGTCATAAATGCTTACAAATGGGACATGCCAGTGTTGATCTTTTAAGCATTCCCTTTTTTAAAAGCTAAATTAAAGTTTTTGAGCCACTGCAGACATAATGTCAGCGATTCCTTAAAATGTCTTCCCTAATGTTTCTTTACTTTTATTTCATTTCACAAGTTGTTTTTTGTGGGGGTGATTGTTTCGTTTTGTTGTCGTGTTGTTTTGAAGGCATGTTGATTTAATTTGGTTTGGTTGTTTGGTTTTGTATTCCAAATGATAGGTAGTATCATCTTGGAATTGCTTCTTACTTGTGAGATTAGTTCCACTGGTACATCTTTTTAAACATGTGGGTCCTTACAGTAGGAGCAGACAATGTTTTGGACGCTTTTCATTGGCATTTCATTTTGTTGTGTTGTAGAATTCTTATGTTCCTTAATTAGAACCTCATGAATATAGACCATTATCCTTACTAGGGAATTTTCTTCATGGTTTGGCAGTAAAATACCTGTTACTTAAACCAACAGCTCCATACATGTATGCATTTGTGAACAAGGGAAAATGCATGATTTTTTATTATTTTATTTTTCAGAGGACTTGTAAAATATCTTCCTTCCAATTCACTAAATAAGTTGGCCAGATATTTCTGATCTGACTATAAAGTAACATAGTTTCTTAGGCAATTTGATAGAAATTGTTGGCACTACTTTATAGACAACTACCTCACAGAAACGAGGCTCCAGTAGCCATAAAGGTAGAAGAGCAGGGACTTGAAGACTGGTCAGGCCAGGGTTGTTTCTTTGATTTGCAAATGGTCCATTCTGTGACCTTTAGGTCCTCACCTCTAAACTAGGCACATTAAGAGCATGTACCTCATAGAGCTAGTGTACAGCTAAACAAGATCATAAATGTGAAGTTCTTTGTACAGTCTTTGGCATATAGTAAACACTCATTAACTAGTAGCTATTGTTGCTATAAAATATTTCAAGTTATTATATTGAAATAAAGCTATTTTATCACCATAAAACACATGAACAGTACAGTTCCTTTTCCAAGAGATTGCAAGAGTTAATGCTAGTGTGTCTATTGCAAGAGCTTTTCTCAAATATGGGCCTCAGGACCTCAGAGTATTTGACAGGTTACAGAAGTGAACCAAAAAGTGCTGGAAAGCAGTAACAGTGGTCATGGAAAGATCAAAGAAATTACTTAATCCCGGAAGTGTGAGCAGTTACCCTGCAGAGGATATTGGCTGACTGTTCTGCTGTCTTTCTGAGGATGAAGAAATGAAGCGAGCTGCAGTAGCTGGAATTGCAACCTAAGAGAATTAAATAAATACAACGTGGGTCTCTGGGGAAATTGTCAGAGCAAGATCTTAAAAGCAGACTATATTCTCGTAAATAAAAGATGGTCAAAGTTTTTACCAGGGCGAAAAAATAAAATCAGGAGGTTGTCCACCTTTGGGCCCCATGAATTCCGTGAATGTAGGTATTAAAATTTAACATAAAGAGCTTTTCCCATAGATGTCATATGGAAAAATATGTGCTAACAATAAAATAATGGTTCTTGATCATATTATCCCTGATAGCACATATTAAATTTCTCCTCATGTAGGACACTGTGTGGGGCATTGCACAAAATGAATCAAGCAACCACAAATTTCATTATGTAAAAGTAATTTATAATCTGTAAAGAGCCTCATAAATATTGTTAGCAATGCTAACATTAATAAGAAGAATAGAAAAATGACCCTCACATCCTGGGAACAGCATCTTAAAAGCCTGTTTTATAAATAGAAGAATAAGTCTCACATCATCAACACGCAGCAGGATAAATGGCTTCCCAGGAAGTGAAGCCTGAGGGAGAAACAGCAGTTGCACATTTGGTTCCCCGTGATATTGGGAGACAGTCCCATCTGGTGCTCAGCAGGAGAAGGCCTACTTCCTTCCACAACTATGAGATGACTTATTTAGTTTTGCCGTAGGGCATTGTCACAGCCACTTATCACCAAGGAAAATTAAACACTCTGAAGGCTGGATTCCTCCCCGAGGACAGTGAATCTGACAGAAGTGGCTGCAGCCACATCCATAGGTCTCCAGAGCAGTAAGGGTGACGTGCCATCCAGTGTGCCCTTATTCATAAATGCTACGTGTTTACTTTCCAGTTCACTGTTTTCCAAGGGTTTTCCTTCAGGAGCAAACATGTCCTGAATTGCTCATTCCCCAGAGAGAGTGAAGGCCAGGTCAGCTGGAAGACGAGCATGGCTGCTGTCACATTTAGGCATTGATACATCATCACACACATTATTTCTCCAGCGCATCTTCCACATCAAACCACTGAGCTCATTAGCACACACACAGCTGACTCTTCAGAGACGCATGAGATCAGGAGTGTGTATGGAAGAGATGTTCTTTTTATAGTGTGCCACCTGTGACTTCTGTCCCCTGCCCTACCTCATGCCTATGAGAAACTTTCCTGTATTTCTTTGCCTTGCCAGACTCAATCTGCTTTTACCTTCTTGCTCTAGTGATGGCCTGTATTCATTTCTGTCTTCCACTGCAACAGAATTGTATTTTTATGTTTAGCTGTCCATTCAGTGTATTGAGTCAAGCTCCTTGCCACAAGCTGATGAATAAGCCATGCATGGTCTCTGCCCTCAAAAAACTCATAGGTTAGGCAAAAGACCAAGCAAATTCATATATTGGAGAATTGAAATCCTAAACTCAGTCATTGCTACAAAAAGTGCAAAGGTAATCCAGAGAAAACTAGCATGTGCCAGAGAAGTCAAGGAAGATTCTGAGCTACATGATTTCTTGACATCTGAAGCAAAACTCTGCCTTTCTATAGAACGCATCCCTTGGTTTAGCCCAGTATCTTCTGCACCCGAGAGTGACAACCTCTCACAACTTCTAAGGCCCATGCCGCTTGGGTGGAGGATTACAAACACCCATCCTCAGGACTAAATGAGTTTATTTCAACAAGAATTCAGGAACTTTTTACTTCATTATTGTAGCTACCAGTGTCCTGTCCAGAATCATGTTAATGTCTGCCTTGAGTTTCTTATTTTTTTTCCAAATAATCTCTTTTGAAAGAAAGACTTGGCTTAATGGAAATCCTGTTTAACTAAAAATTGGATTAAAAAAAAACATTTTAGTTCTTGCATTGGATTTACTCTTTATTAAATGTACAACCTTAGGCAAATCTCTTTACTACTTCAGAGCTCAGTTACTTGCTCTGAAAAAAAGGAATTGACTAAAACCACACGTTCCAGACCCAAACCTCTGGATTCCTAAGTGGCAGGCAACGGCGTCAATGCTTCCGAAATTCTGCGTGCGCCCGTGTTGCATCCTGATGGGCCAACTAAAGTTTCTCTGCTCTTGGCTGGACTCTTATCAGCCCAGTGCAGTAGCACTGATGTTATTATGGTGATCAGAAGCAGTGATTGCAGCCGTTGATTAATAAAATGACTTTGATTAAGAAAGAAATGGAAAGACGAAATAATTTGTATTTAATAAGTGCAATTTGGTAGGCAAAAAAATTAACACCAGAGGACAGGGGAAGATAAAGCTGCCACTGGTTAGGAATCAGTAGGTTAGGTTATTTTCCATTTTTCTCTCCCCTCAGTTTGTCCTTGAGACTAGGTTGGACTTCAATAAACTTACAATGATTAAATAGCATTTATATACAGTTAATGGTACACCGATGGTGACAGAAGAAAGAGGCAGAGAATCTCAGGCATAATCCTTTACAGCCCATTTTGTCAGAGCAAAAATAAACAAAGGGAACATTGGAGATTCTTCCTTAACAAGCCCATCTATCCTGGCTCACTATTTCATATTATTTGCTTATAGGCTATTTGAAAATAGCCTATTTTTGTCCCCATGCTTTTGATTGTGACATTCTCTCTGTGTTCACTTTAATTCAAGCCTTCTCCAGCAGCTCCTTTAGGTTCCATTTGATTATAAAAACAGAAATGTCCAGGCTGCTACAGACGTGGCTTGCCTTTTGTAGAGCTGAGCCGTGAGAGCTGCAGAATGCCTCTCATCCTGAAAGACACACATGCCTAAGAGGCCTGTCACATCTCCTATAATTCTTTGGAAGCACTTTCTGTGTTTCTCCACTCCACATGTTTCCCAGCCGCACATTGAAGATAAGCAGCAGTCTTTGGGGAGAATGGGGGAGTCCAGAAATCGGAGCCTTCTGTGCAGTCAGGACCTGAGAATGTCAAGTCCTGTTCTCTCGGATGTAATGAGGTTCCCGAAGTTGTGACGTGCCTTCCCTCTAGCCATCTCTTCTCCCACTGACCACCCCTGGAAGAGTCTGTTCACTTCTATGGCCCGCATTTAACAGAGGTCAAGATAGACTAGAAGGGTAACCAAAAAGGTCAGGATTTGGAAATCATGTCCAAGGAGAGAATAGGTAAAGGAAGTAGGACAGTTTATCCTGAAGGAGTGGAAATGTCAAGGGACGCAGGAAGGCTTGATTTAAAGACCCCGGTGCCTGTCGTGAAGGAAGGAAGCCCTACCCTGTGAGACTGCAGAGGGCAGAACAGGGCCAATAACTAGAAATCAAAGGGAGATAGATTCTGCTTCAATCCAACGTGGGGACCCAGAGACGGCCCTCTAAGAGAGTGGGCTCCCTGGGAGGGAGTCTTTGTTGCTAAAATTATTCCAGCAAAGAGGAGTCCCAGATGAAAACTAGGAAGCTGCTGCTAAGATTACACTAGGCTTCCTGCAGGATTCATTTTTGCCAGGCATTTTAATTTTTCAGGTTTTGGATAGTCCCTGTGTGGTCTAATACTAAACCCTCATTTTCGCAGGGAGATGAACAAGCGTCTAACAGAGGAACAGGCCAAGAAAACCTATGATCGTGCAATTAAGCTAGAACAAGAATTTGGAGAATATTTTACAGGTAAGTTCTTGTTTTGTTTTGTTCTGTTTAATTTGCAATTGCAGTTGACATACAGGGTGGCACAAAAATAGGTTTACAGGTGTTCATATGGAAAGTAATATAATAATTATTAATAAGCAAGAATAAACTGTGTTTTGTGTACTCACAATTATAAACCTGCTTTTGTCCGATCCTGTGCAATATTATATTAGTTTCAAGTGTATAACATAGTGACTAGACATTTATATAACTTACAAAGTGATCACCCCAGTAAGTCTAGTACAGGGAAGTTCATTTATCCTTAAACTCTGATAAAAGAGAAAAATTGCCTAACATTTGGCATAATGGAGGGCCTTGTATATCTGCCCCTAAAACCTTCCTGCTGAGAACCCCTGGTTCACTTCTGCTTCACCCACTGGCTTCAGACTCTAGGTTCTCCCTGCTCTGAATTAATCTGCAGCCGGCTTCCAGGTTCCCAGTGGCCCCATCCAAAACCAGTGATGGCAGATGCCGCTGAGCTCTCTCCTGCTATTAAGGTTATTTTAGGCATTGATGCTTCATTAAACAACCTCCCTGGTGTCATCAGAAAACTCGAAAAGTAAACTTTTAGGCCTCAAAATGGGTAGTGTTTAAAGCAGTCAGTCTTGAGAAGCAATCTCAGGGCTGCCATCCTCTGCTCCAGTGACCGAGGGTCTGTCTCTTCATTAGCACATGTGAACAGCAATCTTAAAACACTTGGGGAGAGGAGTATAGGGGAACTGAATAGTAATAGAAAAAATACAATAAAAAGGGTTCTTTCTTTACTCATAAAAAAACAAACCACTTTTCTTGTTTCAATTAATTCCCCTTCAATTCCCCTTTAAGGCAGAACATTTTTTTTTCTTTTTTAAATATTTCCTTGGAAACTTGAAGATTAGGGAATAAAGGAAGATTTTCTTGTCTTATGTATTCTGGGTTCTCCCTCATATATTTTTATGAAACATTGATCAAATATAAAGAATGAGCAACGTTTGTGGAATATGCCTTATAACAGATAGTTTGAAAACAAGAACTGTCCTTCCAAATTACGTTATGTGAAGTTAGATATCTTTTTATCTTATTCAGAATTGAAAAACATCAGTGGCTTAGCAGTTTTCAAATATACTGAATCAAATAATCTTAAGATTTCAATCAATAACAAAGACATGAGGTGTATGTCATTCTGAAAGAGCATCTAGGTAGGACCATCAAAGCTAAACACTGTGTATTTGACAGTGGCTTATATTAAGGAGTAAAATACAGTATTCACTATATTCTGAGAAGTGTTTTGAAAATCTAAACCATGTTTCGATAGCAATCTGTGTCTAAGTTCTGTTATAAGGAGAGTGCTGATGTGTTTTTGAGATCTAGCTACAAGACAGCTTTGGTTTAAAGATAATGAAATGTACTTAAATCTACTCTGACTTGGTATTTTAGGTAACACACAGTTTAGCAGTTTATTTATGTCTTTTCCTATGTATGTTTCTTATAAGTAGTTACCATATTCTCAATATGAGTATATAGGGTAAAATTTCATTTTACTCGGTTCTTAGAGAATGAATGGGGTTCCTTCTACAGCTTTTGGGGATTGAGGAACTTAACTAAAGTTTCTTCCAAAAATGTCATTATTTTCTCTGTGTCTAAAATATCTGAATTTCTGTCCCTGACAAAGTAAGTACAATGTAAAAGTGTAAGGCTGCCTTTCTTTGATAAATGGGTAGCTCAGTCTGAAGAACTGATTGATGCCTAGCACACGGCCCAACCCAGGCTAGACCCCCCCTAAAACGTAAATAAGGGAATGGTTCATTGGCCAGAGCAATGGACAGACATGTAGAAAGTAGAAAGACTGTGCGTGGTGCATTTATTACTGATCCAGAACATGCCTTGAAAGCATTTTTTAATCATTGATGTGACCTTGCTTAAGTCAATTTTCTGCTTTTTCTTACTAATCAAAAGTACTATTAAGCTTCCTGATGAGTCTGTGCGTCACTGCTTTGATCCTCTGCTGTGCAGTTAATTGATGAGGAGCCCTAACCCCAGCGTTTCTTCTGTTCTAGCTATTGTCCAAGGAGACACCTTAGAAGATATATATAACCAGTGCAAGCTTGTTATTGAAGAGCAGTCTGGGCCTTTCATCTGGATCCCCTCAAAGGAAAAGTTATAAATTAGCTACCGCACCTCTGACAACGACAGAAGAGCATTTAGAAGAGCAAAATATATATAATATACTACTTGGAGGCTTTTATGTTTTTGTTGCATTTATGTTTTTGCAGTCAATGTGAATTCTTATGAATGTACAACACAAACTGTGTGAAGCCATGAAGGAAACGGAGGGGCCGAAGGGTGGGACAGAAGACACTGCAGTATGATGCAGGAAGGCTTTGGTTTGCTCAAGGGGCCAGGTATAGGGATGAACCTCTGATGGGCTTTGTGCCCAAGAGCTGGGCAGCCTCCTCACCTAGCAGATGTCCAGAGCTGACTTAGCCGCTGAGCTCTCTGTGTTTTTTGCTTTAAAGAAAAGTTGCCAGCACTTGAACTTCACCAACCTTCCCATTACCTACATCTGTAATTGGTCCACTTCGAATTTTATAACTATGCACATCCTTTGATTTCTTATCAAGCAAAAGAAAGAAAGAAGGAGAAAAGAAAGGAGTCCCTTTGGAGACGGCATAAAATCAGGGAAGGATAAGCATGTAGTTTCTTTGACTGGCATCTGCAAAGATGAGCATTTCATAAAATTTGCAAGTGTATGGAGGACTGACCTTACTGAGAGGAGGGGATTCTACCTGGGGTTAGCTTTATGATTGTTTATTGTCTATTTTGCCATTTATAAAGTGAAAGAAGGCACTAAAGATGAGAATAATTTATACAATAAAAATATATTAAATGTATAGAAACAAATTTCTATAGGTTAAAAAAGTTTTGTGAAATATTTTGTAAAGACTAATCAATTGAAAGACAGACTGTATGCACTATCCGCAGGTGATCGAATGCAAGAACTGAAAGTTGCACTCTCCCTTCTGTTGCCAATGACCCATTAAGAGCATCTGAATTCCTTCCAAAGTCTGACACAGCCTTCTCCCCAACTTACCTCCCGTGATCCACCTTCCCTCTTAGCAATGCACTCACACGGAGCACATCCTTTAATGAGTTGCCCTCATGGATATTTTTGGAAGACATTTGGTTAATGCATTTTTAAGCTGATGGCTTTCAAACTCATGCACAGGAGCTAAAGGGAAGTTTTTGCTTTCCTCTTGTTAAACAACCTGGGCCTGCTCTGCAAGTAGTTGAATAACTTTGTTCCTAGTTACTTACATACAATTCTTAAAGGATCATCTAGTATTTTGGCCAGCCGTGAGTAATTAGGACATTTTTTTTTGTCTGTTTCACAAATAACTGAGGTTTTATAACAGCCAGAGATGGCGTAGAATCATGGCGAAATCTGTCCCACAAGGCACTATTTCTTTGAGGAAGAGAGAGAGAAGGGAAGTATCTGGTTGGAGTATAAGGGTTGTGGACTTGTTTCTGTGTGCAGGGAAAGAAGACAGAACCATAGGGAAAACCAGTTAATGACTTTGAGCTCAACCAATTGAACTGCCTTTCTTCGGGGCGGCACCTGGACCAAGTTTATTTTTTAACAATTATAATAATGATGACTAATGGAAAAGAAAAAGAAACCTCCTGAAGCCTAAATCCTAGGTTAGGGCTGAGTGACATTGGCTTTGCCTGTGCCCAAGGTGTTTAGAGAGAGACTTTTCTGTGATCTCAATAACCACTCAACTCTGGGTTCTATGCAGGCCCAGACTAAGCCCCATCGCCTTATTTCTGGGGTACATCCAGACCTGGCAGGGACTCTGCCACACTGTGCAGCAAACCAGCATGCAGGCTGGGATGGGAGAGCAAGAGACAGAGCCATCAGCAGTGATGGGGCTTCTTCACAGTAAGAACATCAGAGCTCAGACCAAGGGTCTCTTTCCAAAAGCAGGCATTGTTCATCTTACAGTAAATGCCACTCTGCCTGGCTACAGTCACCAAAACAAACACAAAGAAAGCAAAATTGTGCACCTGCCTTGTAGTCTTGAGGCTGCCTTTGCCAATGGAAGGGCTGGCAATGTATTTGCCCTCTGATGAAAGTTAAATTTCTAAAAATGTCCTTAGATTGCTCAAAATGTTAAAGATGTGACCGTGTTTGCCATTTGCCGGTTAGTTTCAGGTCAAGGTCTACTTTCATCAGTATTGCTCCCAGGAGTTTTCTGCCACCAGAATGCCATTCCTGATCCCAGCTCTATTTTTAGGCCACCATGATAACTTCTTTGGTTTCTCAACTGAGCATGCAACCATTTATTTAGAGGACTGTCATTAATGAGTAGATGTTTCCGCGGGTCTTGTGATGTGCTTTCCGTTTACTATTAAGTATTGCCGTGGCTGAGTACAATCAAATTGAACCACCAACCCTTGGTTTTGTAGTAATATAATTATTTATTTTCCTAGTGTAGATGCTTTCAGATTAGAATTGGCATTTGCACTGATTTTTTATGTAGATTTATATAAATATATATACATATATATTGCTTGAAGAATCACCAAGCAAATTGGTGAGAGGGTCTTTTCCTATAGAACTTACACCTCTGTTTGTTGTGTTGTCTTGCGCTTCCCCATGTTGAGGTCTCTATGGCTCCAATGAACTGGTGTATTTTGCAGTAAACCTGACAACTGGTGTGGAAATGGCACGAGAGTTACCCAGATGACATCTGGTGCAAATGCACCTGGAGCCTGGGGCCAGACTGGTGCTAACACTGCAAACTTTGTCCGGAGCTCTCTCCACCCTGAAGGCTTGCTGGGGGCACAATGTCACCTTCACATGCTGGGCCCTTTCGGGAAAGTGCCAGATCGTGTCACTGGTGCTATTTTTCATGCTCTGGTACAATGTGTAGCACCACGGGGGGGTCTCAGCTTTACCAAATTCAAAATCCCATTTGTCAGCTAATTGCAGGGGCATTTGTTTTCGCTCTTCTCCCTTGGGATTTGTTGGCCCTCTCTTTGCAGGCCTTTCCTCCCAGCCCCAAGTTTATGGGTTGGCTTTCTCTGTTCAGTGAGCCCACCTTGATGAAGCCGCACTCAGGTGTCTGTGAGCTGTCTTAGATCCTACTGCCAGCCCTTCAGGACTCCAAGCCAGGGAACGGCTCTCGCTGCCCTGGCTCCCACCTCTGGTTCTTTCTCATTCTCCCTCTGCTTTCCCCTTCCTCTTTCTATCCCACCCCGTAGCTCTTTTTGTTACCTCGCCTTTTATCCTTTCTTCCTGTCTTCTCTAAGTTGTTGACTTTCCTATAACTCTCCTTTACTCCCTCCCTTTTGTTATTCATCTCTATTCTCTACTTGATTCTCAGTCTTTCTCCTTCTTACTCCTCTGTCCCCTCCTTCACCCTCCTTTCTCTTTTTCTCACTCCTGATCATCTCCTCTCCCATACCCCACCTCTTCACTTTTTTGTCCTATAAGGGCTCATGGCTGATTCTGACAGCAAGTCCATAGGCTGGACTAATGACACAACTACTTCGGGTCACCGTTTCACTTACGCAGCCCAGAAAGCAAAGCTGAGCGTGAGGTCCTGACCTGGAGCAGCTCCAGCCCAGGAGCCAGCCTGCACCACTGCCCGGCAGTGACGATGCATGTGCTCTGGGCTCTGCTGGCACCTGGGTGCCCCTCTGCCAGGAGGCTGGTCCAAAGTGAGCCCACTCCCAGCACCACCCTGTGGCTCTAAGGACACTTCCTTTCAATAAAGGCAGACGCTGGCCCCAACAATTATTCTGACAGCAAAACTCCTCCTCATTGAAGCCATGCCATCGCCTTGATTTGGAGAGAGACATATTTTTCCCATTCATAAGCTTTCTTTTTCCCATATTTATGTGAAGCCCCCCTCTGCTTTTCAACTGGTGATTGCTCTAGTGAGATTGAATGGACTCGCTGGTGAAATAACATCTCTTTTTTTCCTGTTTTGGTCCTGCCCAAATTCATACAAAATTATTTAAGTCAAGGACTCAAGCTAGTTCCTAAGTTTATAATAGTAATTTGTCACTCTTAGGGGGAAAGGGGACACATTTCCCTTCAAATATACGGAGTACCTCCTGTGACAACGGATTTGTCAGAGGACTCCCCTAGAGAATTCTGTGGATGTACATTTTATTTAGGCATATGTATGGTATATGTGGTATGTATATGCTGTATACACATACTACATTGGGTATGAATGAATGTGGATGGACGGAAACCCACCCACACACTCCAGTCTGTAAATATTCTTCCTCACTGAAAAGTGTGCTTTGGAAATAATGTCTTGTACAGCTGTGCAGTTTCTTGTAACAGCTGAGGACAAGCTAAGACAGGTGGACGATTTAGACAAAGATCATCCAAAAGATAGAATTCAGGATTCCCCTAGCAACTCATGAGGACAGACAACCAAATGGCAATGTTGACACCCAATGGGATGGCAAACTTTTCTTCTCTCCCTTTCGAATTTGTGTTTCCTAAGTGTGTCTTCACTTCTGAGTGCACCAGGCTGTACCCGTTAGAGCCTTTCGATATGAGTGTTGCGCTTCTCTCTGACGGACGCTCCTCTGCCAAGCTGTAGTGCGGGAGGGAGAGAGGGGAATCGCTCCTCGCCGGGGCCGGGGTTACAGAGACACTGCACAGCGTACACTCCTGTTAAGTGTAAATATTCGACACTTCCATTCCATTTGTGTAAAAAATAAAGCACACACGATTATAAAATCAAGATGTATATTTCCTACTCAGTGTGTCTGTGCATATTTATTGCGTTTTTCAGTTGTCAGTGGTGGCCCCTGGTGGGAATGCTTCATAGTGTTTCTAAACATGCCATGGTTTTTATTATAAGATATAAATATTAAAATAGTTTGTACTTTATAGCAAATTATTTTCTCCCACAAAATAATTTGTCTTACATCATAACAAATAGAATCATTCATTTCCATTTTTTCCAATGTTTCTGATTTCAGAACTGAAGTATAATTAGAGTATGTGTGCTCAGAGAAATATTGGCACTCCTAAAATGAGCTGGAATTGGTGCTTTTGCATATTTTTAAATATTTGGTTACCATCTTGCCCACTTTTAACCAAGATTTTGCCAAGAGTAAACAAGATATTTAAAAGGGGGTGGGGTTTAGCCCTGGCTGGTGTTGTTCAGTGGATTGAGTGCCAGCCTACAAACTGAAAGGTCCCTGGTTTGATTCCTGATCAAGGCACGTGCCTGGGTTGTGGGACAGGTTTATGTTTCTCCCCCTCTCTCTTTCTCCCTCTCATCCACTCTCTTGAAAAATAAATAAAATCTTTAAAAACAAAACAGGAGTTTTATTGGTTGATTGATTTTAGAGAGAGAAGGGAAGGAGAAAGGGAGAGAAACAACAATGTGTGTTTGCTTCTCAGGTGCCCCTAGTGGAAACCTGAACTGCAACCCAGGCATGTGCCCTGACTGGGAATCGAACCAGCAACCCTTTGATTCATGAGCTGGTACTCAATCCACTGAGCCACACCAGCCAGGGCCAGAACAGGGTTTTTAAAGGCCTTCATATCTATCTGAAAAAGTTAACTCCCCAGTTTCAAAATTTTGAGGTTCCAGAAGATACTAAGAATAGAGAAGGATATTTTTGTCTTATCAGACACTTAAGACACAAAGGAAGGCACAAATTGGAGAAGTGTCCCTATATGGATAATACCCTGGGAACACAAAATATACCAGCTCTGATCTGAACATACCAAGAATGGTCAGGTTTGGGAACCTGAATCTGCCAGACGATGTTCTAAATTCTTCCTTCCCAGTTATGTGCTTTGTCATTGACATTTAGACAGCACAGGTCTGACAGCTGGGGGACCGAAACAAAGTCCCCTGTGGAAGGGGTGAATTTTCACCATCGAAGCAATTGCTTTGAAGTAGGTTTTGCTTCATGATAAACTATCGCAGAATCAGACCAGCCATCGGGTAGCCAGACTTGGTCACACTGCCTTGACCATCACTGAGCCCAGAGGCCCTGTCACTGTCCCTGGTGCTTCATGACAGTGAGCAGAGACATCAGAGGTGGTGTGAGAAGGCATTGACTGGGGCTGCAAGCCTAATGCAGGCCTTGAATTTCAACAGTTACTCAAGTTTTACGATTTACACAGTCTCACCAGGTTTAATGTTCATGGTAACTCTACAACAGCCAGATTCACTCCAATGATGGGTGTGTTTGCGGGGCAGGGGGGTGAAGAGGGTTTGACTTTCCTTTATGTCCTCTTTAATTCCTACATGTGTAACTTTTTAAAACATGGTCACACTAGAAGTCTCAAAAGCTAGAGGTGAACTGCATATCTCTGAACCTAAGAGGACCTACCTGCAAATGGATAGTCATTGTAGATACTGTGAGACTAAACATCCAGTGACAGAATTTAAAACCCTCAGTGAGGCACAAAGCTCAGGGCCATTGGTAGAGGGGTCACCAGTTTTCTCAGGGAACCAGGAGCACTCTGCAGTTTTCAGGGGGACAATATCTTCTTTTTTAAAAAATTTTATTTATTTATTTTTAGAGAAAGGGGATGGGAGGGAGAAAGAAGAAGAGAAACATCGATGTGCAAGAGACACATAGATCAGTGTCCTCTCACACACCCCCAAATGAGGACCTGGCCTGCAACCCAGGCATATGCCCTGACTGGGAATCAAACCAGTGACCTTTCTGTTCACAGGCTGGCACTCCATTCACTGAGCCACACCAGCCAGGGTGGGACAATGTCCTGTATGGGCCAGGACTGCTGGGTCTCATGACCCCATTTGTTGTTCTCTGTGACTCACCTTTCCCTTCAGAACATCTCAGGAGGCAACACTGCTGTGATGAAACTAATCCCCTCCTTCAAATGTTACAACGGTGCCATGTGCAGACTTTGCCCCTAAGTCCCCTTAGCACAGATAGGACAAAGCTACAATACTTGGTCAAACTTTGCTAAGGGCTGGGGATAACAAAAGGGAAATAACAGATAATCTAACTTTAGGGATGGGCTTAGTGTGCAGCTCCCAGCCAGCTGCCACGTGACAAAAGCCATGTTTTCCTCACCGCCTGGGAGTCCCTCACATACAGCTAGATCTGGTGTCAGAACCTTTGCACTGCGATGCTGTAGCCAACATCCTGTGACACCAGCTACAGGTAAAAAGTGCCTGCTGGTCCATGACTCCTGCCTGATCATACTAGAATTCGAGCGAGAGTGAGTCACTATGGTTACCTTGGAAGATTGTTTTTAACTGTAAAGTCAGGTTACAAGCAGATTCTGATTCAGAAGACGCAAGAAGCCAGGAGCCCAGGTGATACTGATACTGGTGATGGCAGGCTCTAATCTAAACTGCTGGCCACTCCCATCCCAACAGGTCACACACCAGCAGGTTTGTTAACGAAATCATAATGAGAGTGCTTCACATGTGGTAAAGATAAATGCTGTTTCATATTGTTTGTGTTGCATGTAAAATGTTTTTACAGACCTGTACTCAGCCAGCTCGGGCTCCAAGGGCCTCACTCTCCTGCTGAGAACTGCAAAATATTGAGCCCTTCTCTATGCTGCCTCCCTGCTTTTCCTCTCAGGTCCTAGTTTTAAAGTCACACAAACCAATGCACAAACACTCTCCACCCACCTGAGACAGCTGGTAAAATCTGAAACATCTACCTCAAACCTGCTAACTAAGGCACGGTTCTGAACTGGAGTACAGCAACCGGAGAACTGATGGCTCTTTCCAAGTCAAGGCAGACATTCTCTTTACAGTTTCCTGAGCCCTGGTCCACATTCTTCACAAGGGAAGTCTAAATATTGAATTGCATTTGCCACAGTCTTGTATTTGATGGCCTTAAGAAGCTAGGTAAAATGATCATGGCCTGATGACCAGTGGCTTACACGTTGTATATTGCTTAGTCCTTTTTCTATGCCAAAATAATTTCTCTTTTGCCAAAATAATTTCCATAAATGGCATTAAAAATGTGGAAGTACTTCCGCCAAGATGGAGGCATAGGTGGAGACGCATGCTTCCTCACACAACCAAGTTTAGAGACAACTAAATATTAGCAACAGAAAACACAGCCAGAACACAGAAAATTGAACTTTTCGGAAGTCAGATAACAACAAATTTTTCAGCCTGACCTGTAAGAGGGGCGAAACCAGCAGCTGGAGGAGCGGGGTTGCACAGGAAAACTCGGTCAGACGGACTCGGGCGCGCAGAATCCAGGCGCAGGGTTGAACCTGGTGGGCAACTCAGCGAAGGAGCAGGGCTGCGGGTTAACTGTGGTCTCGCATCCGTGCGTGGATAGACAAGCGAGGGAGTGGGCGACTGGACAAGACCCAGCAAGCCCCAGTGGCGAGCGGCAGCAGAGGGCACCGCCATTTCCCTGCTCTGACCCCACCTCCACGTACAGCGTCACAACCCAGCAACCGGAGTGGCCCTGCCCTGGTGAACCACCTGAGGCTCTGCTCCTCACCCAGCTGTGAAAACAGCAGAGGGCACCGCCATTTCCCCGCTCTGACCACGCCTCCACATACAGCGTCATAACCCAGCGACCTGGGAGTCCAAGGCTCCGCTCCTCATACTTAACAGGTGTGAACAGAACAAAAATGGCTCAAGAAGATCTCAAAGCCCCAGAGCCTATAAATCTAAGCAATGAAGAAATAGCAAAACTCTCATATGCACAGTTTAAAACACTGGTGATCAGGATCCTCACAGAACTGGTTGATTATAGCCACAAATTAGACAAACATATGAAGGCGAAACAAATTCAAATGAATGGAATTGCACAGGAAACCAATAGCGATAAAAAGGAAACTGGGACTCAAATCAATGGAGTGGACCAGAAGAAAGCAAATAATGGCCAAACAGAAAAGAGTCAAGAAGCAAGAATTCAAAAAAATGAGGAGAGGCTTAGGAACCTCCAGGACATCTTTAAACGCTCCAACATCTGAATTATAGGGGGTACCAGAAGGGGGAAAGGAACAGCCACCAGTGGAAAACTTATTTGAACAAATAATAAAGGAGAATTTCCCCAATCTGGCAAAGGAAATAGACTTCCAGGAAATCCAGGAAGCTCAGAGAGTCCCAAAGAAGTTGGACCCAAGAAGGAACACACCAAGGCACATCATCATTATATTAGCCAAGATGAAAATGAAGGAGAGAATCCTAGAAGCAGCAAGAGATAAGGGGACAGTCACCTACAAAGGAGTCCCCATCAGACTGTCAGCTGGATTTCTCAAAAGAGACCTTACAGGCAAGAAGGGGCTGGAAAGAGGTATTCCAAGTCATGAAATCCAAAGACCTACAACCAAGACTGCTCTATCCAGCAAAACTTTCATTTAGAATGGAAGGACAGATAAAGTGCTTCTCAGATAAGATCAAATTCAAAGAGTTCATCATCACCAAGCCCTTATTATATGAAATGCTAAAGGGACTTATCTAAGAAAAAGAAGTTTAAAAAACAGGAACAGTGAAAAAACAGCAAACTCACAGTTATTAACAACCACACCTAAAACAAAAGCAAACTAAAAGGACAGCTAGATCAGGAGTGGAAACCTAGAAATGAAGATCTCAAGGAGGGTTAGCAACAGGGGAGTGGGAGGAGGAGAAGGGGGGAGAAGGTACAGAAAATAAGTAGCATAGACAGTAGATAGAAAATAGATGGGGGGGGCAAGAATAGTATGGGAAATACAGAATCTAAAGAACTTGAGACACATGGTCATAAACTAAATGGGGGTAATGGT